TTCTCTGGGTGTTTTTGATTCATTAAAGCCAATTGCACCAAAAATAATGAGTTCCTACAGTTTAATCAAATACAACGGCCAGATTCATCGAACCCGACAATATCAGATGACAACAACACAGAGTCTACCCAGGGTGAAGGTCCAAGGGTCAATTAGCGATGGAGTTTTCCAAATTGTTTATGACATCAGTTTAGCTGGCACTGTATTGTTGTTTTTATTTTTACTTCTTTGTACAGTTCAAATGCTCAAAGCTCTCATTAATATTATTATTTTATTATATAATTTTCTTTATTCAGTTATTTTTTTGTTTAATTGGCGGAGAAATAGAGGGCATAAATATGAATTAATCTCATTAGTTTTATTTTTAATCATGACTAACAAATTTGTTTTTGGGGAGCAACTTTGTGGACTTAAAGGTTTGCCAGATGAAATGAGTGTAGCTGAATCTGATGGATATCAGGATGATTTCATTTCTAATTTTAACAACACATTTAAGAACATTTCATCTAAAGAAGAAATTTTATACGCATATGATGGTAGTCACTCTTCGGACACTGAAATAATCGTAAGATATGCTGGGTTTTTTCATCGAACAACTCCAACTGATTGTGGGAGTTTTCTTTTTGAAAATAAAACTATTTTGCCTCATGCAGCATTTGGATACAACGACAACCGCGATTTTTATCTAATGTCCAAGTTCCCTACTCAAACAAAATCTAAGAAGCTGGTATTTCATGTCAGGAACACTATTAAATATGTTACTCAACAAATACAAACTATGGATTTTTTAGAGCAAGCACAAACATACACCTACCAGTTAGGTACTGTTAAAATGTGCTCCAACATTCACTATTTACTTAAGTATATTACTGTTCAACCATAGAGTTAGGTCACCGGGAGGAACTCCTCGATCGTCTAGCGCAGATTTTTTTTCCGCTCGGGCTAGAACGAGAATGCAGAAACTCTGGCCAAACCGGGTCTGAGGCACGGTTGAACATGATTCGTAAGTGGTGCGCCTTACTCGATCGGTGCTCCACTGAACAAGAAGTAATACACTTTCTACAGTTGGGGGGGAAATATAATGTTGATCAATTCGGATGGGTAGATACTGGGATAAATAGACACATCGCAGCGGAACTTAGAGCACGGCGACTCCCACTACGTCCACAGAATCCTATTGCGCCTAGATTGAACATTTTTTCGTCGTTGGCTTTCCAAAAAAACTTATTTTGGGCATTCGCGAGATTGTCCAGACTGGATTTTTTAAATTCGTATCATATTTATAAAACTGTATTGGATCGTCACCTCTTGCCGAATTAGAATGAGGCGACAATGTTCGAAAGACTCGAAATGATGTGTTTAAAACATATCGATTTAAGCACGTGTATGTATATGTATTGGGAAATCTAGGTTTATCTCCGATGTTAAGACTCGATATAATAACTCGCACAGCTTTGTTCACTTTATATCTTTTTTTTTAAGGAACTTCACACGAATACACGTGTACGGAGTAATTTGTTGGTCACGACATACAGTTTCCGTAGCTAAAGTATATGATGTACTGCGAAATTTAGTAATGATGTACTGCAAAAATTAGTAATAAAAATTAAAAAAGTAATAAGGTAATTTTTATTTAAAGAGTAAGTAGCGACACGTATTAAGCTACAAGGAACAATATATCTGTGACACTGATAAACTTTTCTTGATTTTCACTCATTGAGGGTGTGTGTGTATGTAACCCATCACTTGGGTTTTTTCTTATCTTGGGTTTTCAAGCCCTGGCGCAGTTGTTGCTTCCTGCTAAACTTATCGAGAATTTAACTGGCGCTTGTCGCTAGGATTATTCGAAAATCAACATCGTGTTGATTTTTCGATAAAAAGCCGCCTATCACTCTCTCTCAGTATACTGTCACTCACTGATGTCCGAAGATCTATTCCCGCGTTACGGTTCAGATCTTCCGGTACCGAAACATACTCTACGTTGTTTCGTCTACTCTTGCAGTAGAGAACAGCAGAAACTCCTCACAATCATTTGTGAACACCTGTCTTCATTCCGACAAGATTGGCCTGTTGAAATTCGTCGAAAAGAGGAGTCCGTTAGCGTTTGGATTGACGGTACAGAAGCTTTCTCTTACGACGGTGTACCTCGATTTTGTAAACCGATCCTTGTGGAGAACTTTGCCCGTGACGGAGACTTCGCCATTTTTGGTTTTTTTTTTATTTTTGGTTCAGATTACGGCAGTTTTACTCAACTGCGGTAAATAAAAATGTCAGATTTTGCACTTCACGCATCTGCACTTTAAATTTTTAATGTTGTCTTATTTGCATTGCATCTGCCCTTTAGTCCGCGATTTGACTCAAGTGGCTAGGCAAACAAATCTTGAAGGTCTTTCCCCTAGACAGACCTCCGAAATCTTATGGGATTTCATTACTGAGCACGAATACGAAGATCCTAATAGTATAAGAATTAAAATCTATTTAGAAGAAAATTCTACTAACGTTCGCGCCTGGCAAAAGCTATTCGCTCAACAAAATATTATTCGAAAAATGTTTTTGGTGTGGTGGTTGGGCCAACCTAACCTAACATAACCTAACCAAATCCAGACAAGCAGAACATCAGCAGCAAACGTCCCGAGGTACAAAGGGGAACAGATACTAGGTGCGATTATGAAAAGTGCGGTAACGCCCCTAGCTAGGTTTTTCTATAGTCATTTGTGGCTAGAATCGCATTTCAAGTGGATGCCTAACGACAAACAAAGTGTGCATAACGACAATGATAAATGCCTGACGACAAAAATGAAGTGTCTCCAAGAAATCATCAAAAATCGCAACAATGAACGAGGTTACGATGATAGCTGATGCCAGGGCTAAGGCCGGAAGCGTCATTGGGAAATTTCCCGATAAGTTGGCGAAAATAGAGCAGGTTACTACCAAATTAACCAAGCTTGCACGCCCAGAATTACCTTGGATCACCATGCAACAAGGTGAGGATCTTCTTAGTCATTACAAGAAATTGATGACAATACAGCACTCAGATTCTACAGGCCACATGACAAGTCTATGCGTGGGTTTAGCCATGATAGGTTGTCTGGATTCTCAGTTTTATTCTGATGTAACGGCTAAACTGGCACAAGAAGTGATAGAGCTTGTGGAATTGTCCGTGGAAGAGTTCGTCAAAACCACAAACTTGGACGTAGGCATCACAGATTTATCAGATTATGATCAAATCAATCCCTATTATTGGATATATAACACAGCGATTTTCCTAACCCTCATTGGCAAGAGACTAAACGACCAGAATTACAGAGCGTGGGTCGAATCACGCAATAACTCCTTCGCAGTGCCTTTAGGTTTCTCAGTTACCGACCCTAGCTTATTCACTTACCAACCTTCTCAGACCTTTGCCGCCAACTTCTATTCGGAAATTAAATCTCGTTGGGAGATTCGCCGCAGGTGTTTCATTGAAATCTGGGCTCTGTCGAGCAAACCAGGTATGCTGGGAAACACATGCAAAATTGTTTTAACACTGCTTAGGGGGGCGGAGCTCACTAATTTTGTGAATATTAGCCAATGGCTTCTCGTATTGAATCCGGAACTCTTCTGCTGGAATGCCCTCGCAAAATCATTGCCTCTGATTTTAAGGGCCTACAAAAAGTTTATATCCGTAGGAGATTTGGCGGATTGGATAAAATTAATATTACCAGATGAACACGTGCGTGAGTTTCACCACTCTACGCTGCGTGTCCCGTTCACTATCGCGCGAAAAATCGCTGTCACATATGGCAACTCAACATTGCAGCAAGTAAAACCCTCATCCCAAATATTGAAGACTGGCTTCTCCGCGACCGAGTAATTGGAAGTGGACTTTTACATGACCCAGCTCCTAACTGGCCACGGGACTTTTAAATTTTACCTTCATAGATTCAAATTGGACCAAAGCCCTGATTGTCTTTTTTGTTCAGGAAATATAATTGACGACGCGCGACATACCTTTTTTGTGTGTGACCGCTTCACTCGACTAAGGCTCGAGGCTTATGCAGACCTCGAGGAGGACCTAAGCGTCGAGAACTTCCAACAAGTAGCCTTAAGTTCCCCAGCGGCTTGGTTTAGGATTAAGCGATTCGTTAGGGATGTTCTAACCCTTAAGTCCCGCATCTTTAAGGGTCTTGAAGCTAAGCGACCCCCTTTATGAAATTACTATTTCTCGATGTTTTCATTACTATTAGCCCATTTTTCCATGTAAAATCCTTCTTATAGATGGTGGGTAGAGGAGCTGATGTCATGCTGAATTGCAGTTCCGGTTCTCTCTATCCCTTTACCTTTCCTTTCGCTGTTACACCATATTCTTGACGTAGAGGTCGTGCGATCAACGCTTCGAGCCGAGTTAGTGAGCTCTCGAGTATCAGCACGGGTGACATCTTTGGCCGGTCTAGCTCCTGTTTCAATCACCTTCACATCACAATGCTCTTCTTATACATGCTTTTCATTTCTCCGATAGATTTCCATGGTTGGCAACTGCGCGTTGAGGTTAGGTTAGGTTAGGTTAGGTTAGATTAGGTTAGGTTAGGTTAGGTTAGGTGGACGTGTTCAGATCGGCTAAGGACGTGTTCAGATCGGCTCCGTTATTTTACTAACCTATTCGCCCAAAACAAAGTTTTGTTAATTGTTTTTAACATGAACAGACTCTATTCATGATGTAGTTTGCTCCTTTGAACCTTTGAACTGACCTGTGATCCCCAGGGATCGGTTTTTTGTGGAATTTTGTGTGATTGTGCAGTGGGTGAGGTGTTGTGCAATTGTCAAAATTGCCAAACCTACCCACTCGCTCACCATTTTTCTTCCGTTTGCGCATGCGCATTAGGAATGAGAATTGGCAACTAAGCACACTGATAAGACGGCGAACAAACTGAGACTATCAGATTGAAAAAAATTATATTTTTCAATCTAAAAGCATTATTCATAATCAAGCGTGAAGCATTCTTCATGAATGAAAAGGTGTCTCGCTCATAATGTGATTTATTGCCGCACCTGTAAATGCACCTCACATCAGGTCACTGACTGCGGTGATAAACTTTGCGCTGAACTTCGTCAGACTGTTATTATGGCAACAAGGACACAAATCCCACAATCCTCTCAGGACATGACACTCATGACACAAAACATGGACTCGGATAAACATGCACGGACTCAGGAAATCGGAAAACTGGAAACCTCACTAAAGGAACTCTTGGACTCAGTAGACATAATTCGGAACATGATTTACAACACTGACAACGGAGATGGCACACCGGAGATAAAAATAGGGAAGAAGAACTTCAACAAAGGAAAGGACACTAGAAAAAGTCTCATGGACATGATGAATCACAAGAAGGAACTGATAAAATTGATCAAAACGGAATTAGAAGATTTGAAGAATAACACCGGAACAATAGGACACGGAGAACAATCGATTACCACCCAGGACACAGAGGAAACCGAAATGGAAATAGAAATAAAGAACGAACTAAAAAGAAGAAGACAAGAAGAACTGGACAATTCATTTGAAAATATATTTGGCGAAGACGAAATCTTCAAAGAAAAACCTCAGAAACGAACGAGATCTTCTACTCCAAAAGGACTAAAAAACACTAGACAGTGCAATAAAAACCGACGCAACTCCCTTCCAGACAGCACACCCAACATGGAAAAAAAGAACACTGACTTCGAAGAATTTTCGATCACCTTCAAGAATCAAAGCATTAAAGATCATACGACAATGATGGAAAAACTACAAGAAGAAAATGAACGTAATTTTAAAAAATTACAAGATGAAAACTCCAAGATGTTGAATGAACTTCTACAGAAATTGGACAATATTAAGGAAAATAAGAAGAATCAACCCGA